GGAAAAAGTATCCAATGTACACACCCCTATTATGAAACTAATTTATACCTTTTATATGAAAGCTATAACCAAATAGCCTAAGAATATGGGGACGGTGAGGGAGACGGGAGGGGGGAATGGGTGGAGGGAGGGGATTTGAAGGGATCACTTCTGAGGTTTATCTTACAAGGGTACAAGTCAATTTTTCTAAGAGTAGAATGTGAACGTTTTAAAGCAATAACTGAGAAAATGACATGAAGGCTGTGTTGACCAGTTTGATGGAAGTATTTCTGATTGCATGTGAAAACCCCACACTGTACTCCAGAAGTGCATTAATGTACATAGTTACCATTCAATAAAAAAAAAAGAGGTTTGCAAAAAAGAAACTCATCTTTAATGTCGCCATCATTAATATAACTCACGTAAACCAGCAACTGTGAACAGTTTGCAACATCTGTAGATTCATTAAGCTGGATACTATATATTGGAAGAGGAGCAGATTTAATTTCCTGGATTATCTTATCAAGAATATCAGCAGACATGTCATCTATTATTCTGTGGACAATGTTGTTAGATAAGAAAATTACACTCAATTTTGTAACAAATTCATCTCTGATCATAACTTGAACAATGTCTTTGACCACTGGCAACAGTAAATCCTCAGCAATGGTGTGAGGTTTCACAGCTCTGGTGATTCTGAGTGCCACCAAATATGAAGCTTCAACAGCTGCTACATTTTGTTTGTGGTACTTGCCACCAGTGTCAAGTCTGGCTTTCTCGAAGTCCATTAGCTTTGCTTCTAAAACAGTTGGTATCCTTGCTGGCAAAGCTCAGATTCTAAGCAAATAACACATTACAGTTTCTCAATTCCTGCTGTAATTATTGAGGTAAAACCATACTGTAAAAATCCCCACTATATTTTCTTTTCTTAACATTCTTCTCTACACGATCCATTGTCATCGGATGGTTTACTAATGAAAATAATATGTAACAATAGCTTTAATAATACAAAAGATGATATATGGCATAGTTCAGTCAATACAGTTTATTGAAGTTTCCTGTGAGTTTCCATTCTGTGTTGTTATTTTCACATACCTGTTAACTATCACAAAGGGCCAGTATTCACATCAACCACAGCTGAATATAGAAAGACCAATCAGTATCCAGATTAAGTCCCCATGGTACAAAATTTTTTTTTGCAGTAGTTAATAATTTTACAGTACATGATTTTACATTTACCCAGTAATTATAATTCATGAAATGTTGTTTTACCTCCAATACTGCTGCTTTCAACACAGCAGCTTCTTTTTATACAGTAGCTGCTCTCTACACATGTGTGACTGGTCTGCATAAGTACATTATGGCACCAACCTGTCACATGCACCTGACATTTGTTGGTGCAATGATGTCATCAGTCTGGTTACTCGTATGTGGGTGGACCCTCCTGGAGACAGATAGAGGAGTAGTGTCTCGGTTCCTAAGACCATCAGAAATATGCGTTTTCTGATGGTCTTAGGTCACCCCTGTGAAAGGGTCGTTCAACCCTCAAGGGTTGACAGGTTGACAACCACTGATCTAGTGGAACGAGCTGTTAATGAACCTTATCATCGGCCAGTCACTGCCCATCTCTGCAGTGTCCCCAATGTCTTCTTTGGGTTTTTTGTATTTTGAGACAGTATCTTGCTCTGTTGCCCATGTTGGAGTGCAGTGATGTCATCATAGTTCACAGCAGCCTTAAACTCCTGAGCTCAAGTGATTCTCCTGCCCCAGCCTTCTGAGTAAGGGACTACAGGTTCATGCCACAACATCAAGCTGATTTTTCTGTTTTTTATAGATACAGGCTCTCACCATGTTGTTCAGACTGGTCTTCAACTCTTGGCCTCAAGAAATCCTCCTTCCTCAGCCTCCCAAAGTGCTGGAATTACAGGTGTAAGCCATTGTGCCTGGTTCCCAATGTTATCTTCGAATGGGAGATTTCTTAATTCCTTAAAATAAGAGATGTGAGTGATGCTACTGCTCTCCCTTCCTGCTTCACAGAGTTGAATCTGTTATGAGAGCTAGAAAGGAGTGACTGCTGCACTCTGTAGTTGAGATGCCCGCTGTGCACACACGTCCAGAGCACTGGGCTTCGCTGTCACTTCCCAGATGCCCAAGTCTCTGTCTCTGTTGCTGCCTCTTTCTCCATCCACTTTCCCCTCTCTCAGGAGAGTGTATGTATTTTCATTTACATTTTTCAATTACATTTTTTCTGTCTAGAACAAAATGCACATGCCAATGAGACACATGACATAAGCACTGCCCTTTCCAGAGTTCACAGACCTTGTATTGCATATTTGTGATTGCCAAACTCTTCCACCAAACCCTATGCTAGTTTTGTTAAATCCAAAACAGGCTGTCTGGGTGATGCATGACTGACGTAATGCAGCAAATAAAAACTCATTCACGTTGAGAAGATGAAGAAGATGGGGAAGAAGAGTCTTTTGTTTAGAGAAAAACCAGATTCAGATACAGATTTTTTTCCCTCTTATCATAGTCAAATTTAATCCAATAGCATCAACAGAAGGTGTCTAGGGAAGAGCAGAATAGAAACGGGGGAGAAAAATTTTAAAAACTCAAATTAGTTAAAATAGAAAAGGGACGGTCAAGAGAGATGAAGAAGTGGGGGAAATAAAGAAACACAGAGAGACTTGGGGAAAAGAAAGAATAGAAAGGAACATTTTGAGTTGTTTTGGAACTGTCTATATAACTTCAGGAAATGACAGTTTCCCAGGTCCTACCTGGGATGTTTTCTATCTTAATAAGTGACTTTTTTACACTAAAATAAATGTGTCCAACAGATAGAATAGGAGGGGTGCAGCAGCTTTATTTATGTCATTGTTTTAAGGAATACCAAAGGACTATTGAGAAGCACTTGAGGAAATTGGTGATTTTATGATAATGGCTTATTTATTCTGCCTCTCCACACCTTTCATCTTCTGTTATTCATCTCTTTCTCTTTGCTTGTTCTTTCTTAATCACCAATTCCACCCAAAGCACTCAGGCATGTCATTTTGTTCCTGAGAAGTACACATATGGCTTCAGTGTTTTCCCACCAGCAGTAGGACGATGACTCCTTAACATGTGTCCTCAGGTCTGCCCACACGCCAGGCCCACACTCCCAGCCTGCTCCATAAACAGAGGCATGGGGCTGCCCACCCTGGGACCTCCGGCTTGCCGTCCCCACTGTAGACATGAAGCAGCAATTTCTCCCTCCTTTTACCAGCCTTCTCCTTGTGGTCCTGCTATTTTCAGGTAAAACAGAAAGATGATGTGGACCTGGGTGCCAGGATTCTTGGCAGTGGGCATTTTGGGAATGAGAGTCCAGGCCAGGCAGGGAGAGATGAAGCCTGGGGTAGGGGCAGGGAGGTCCATGCTCTGGATGGTACCCATGGATGGAAGTCTCCAAACTGTGTTTGCAAATGACACTGTGAATATACCAATGGCAATGGCTTCCTGAAAGACAGACTCCCTCCCCTGACTTCATTTTCTTATCTTTTTGATGTTTCACTTCCCCTTACAGAGAAGGATCTTAACTTTTAGGGGATCACAACAACTATCTTGGGGACATCTGAGGCAAATGCTCAGCTGGGCTTTAATGAGGTATTCAGGCTCCCTGCTAATTGCACAATCTTCTCACACCACTTACCTGCTCTCTCCACACACGTGCACATGAACACATACACAGGTATGCAGAAACCCCTGCCAGCTCCCCTATTCAATCACCCATGTTCAATCATCCCTCAAAGTGAGGTACCACATCCCCATAGGTTTTCCAGACACAAAACTCTGAACTTGGTCTACTGGGTATTTATGTTTGACAGGATTGTCCGGAACCCAATATGTTGACCACTCAAGCACTGAGGGTCCCAGAGAACTTGGGGAACAATCTCCTGGTCACTCATCACACCAACAAGTAAAACGCTATGTCTTACCACCACGTACTCCCCCATATCAGGGTAAGTAAGGCATCTGCTTGGGAGATGTTGAAGAAAGGGGTACAGGGAAGGTGCTGTACAGGCCACTATGGGTGACAGCAGTTGTTAGGGGAAAAGAAAGTAGGTGGTTTGAGCTGCCCTACCTGTTGAGAAGGGCTTTGAGTTCTACAGCCTCTGCTAGGGCTGGATCACTTATGGCCTTATGAGACCTGAGAGTGTCAGGGGCCAAGAAGCAACTTACCTGCCATGTCTGTAATCACTGACATCACACACAGTAGCCAGAGGAGACACTGGCAGAACCTTCTAACCCTACTCCCTTGAGTGGGGAGGCCATTCAGTCTGCAGGAATTTGCTAAATATCTTTCAAGTGCCAGGTACCAAATGAGATTCAGGGAAGCTTCCTGGAGAGGTGGGCAGAGAACAGATTGTGCTGTCAGTCTGCTTGGGTGAGGAGGAGTACAAAGAATGACAAAGGGCAATGAGCCTATGGAAGCTCCTCTGGACTTTTCCAAATAGGGCCAGGCTCCTGTCTGAGCCCAAACACCTGTCCAGGGCCAGCTTCATAACCATAAGGGCCTAGAGGAGACAATAGTTTCCAAGATGCTTCCCTATTCCTGAACTCATTGCTGACCCTGAAATAGGAGGGATTAGGCCAGAAGCTCAGCGGGCAAGAGCCAGGAGGATGGGATGGTGCTGGCAGATTGCTGGTGACTTTCAGCAGATAGAGCCCCAACAGCTTGGATTCCTATAGCATTCTACCCAAAATTCTGTCCCTTCATAATTGGTCTCAGTTCCAATGGACCCACTCATCTGATTCTGCTCTCAAGAGAAGGGGAAAAATGCAATTATTGCGCCACAAATATGAACAATGTATGTCATTTAGTCTAACAGTATTTCTGTGAGACAGGAGTATCATTCCTATTTGGCTAGAAGAGATTTAGAAGGAGCAGAATTATATATCTGGAGTTGATGTTATAGTTTAGAATAGTCTATCACATAGACTATTAATAGTCCATAGACCATAATCTATAATAGGATTAGTTATTCAAAAAAAAAAAACTTAAAACTATGAACTGCAGAAAGCTGTTTCCTATCCATTGTCATCCCAACACATTCCCAAGGGCTAAAATGACCACTGCTTGATTTTTTTTTAGTTTTCATTTTCTTTCATTTTGGTGTTTTTAAATTTACTCTTTGATTCTTGAGATGGTTTTAAGAGGCTGATGTTAGCTATTTCTTCATACAGAACCTGAGCCAGATTTCAAAGTTGTCAACTGCAAGAAAAGTGAAGGCTACTGTCAAAAATATTGTAATTATATGGAAACACAAGTAGGCTACTGCTCTAAAAAGAAAGACGCCTGCTGTTTACATAGAAACTGATGCTGTGGACACAGAAGCTGAGGCTCGACCACCTGCCTGTTTTCCTAGGCCACTTCATCAATCCAGCTATAGATATTTTCAAAAGTATCTGATTAGGGAGAGGGGATGTTACCATTCATGCCAATCTAAACATTTTATTGTGGCAAAAATAAATGAGAAAAATGCTACACATGATCTTACAGAAAGTGATTTAACTTGAATTTTCAAAATCACACAATTTGTGCTGGTAAATGAGGATATAATAAACTTTCATAAGAAACCATCAAATAATTTGTATTTTTATTTAATAAATATTTTTCAAAAGCCTACTTTTGTTCCTGGCATGAAAAATGAAGTGAGTTAGAAATATTAACAATATATGTGGAGTGACAAATAGCTAAACAAATAAAAACAATAAATGCTATATATGCCCTCATGTGGATATATCCTAGGAAGTATATGCAGCAGATAAATAAAAGATAATTTATAAAATGTTCCAAGGGAAATTTGAGAAGGGTTTTAGAGGATGAGTAGAGATTTATTAAGGTGAGAGAGAGACAGACAGAGGTTTCCAAACAGAGGGCACAGAACAACCTGGAGACATGAAAATATGGTTAACTAGAAGCTGGACTATCTCACAAGAACCTGCAGGAGGAGTTTTGGGAAGTGCCTACAAGCCTGTTGCAGTTTCTAAAACCTTCTGATTGTCTGTGTTGTCAGCTCCCACCTGTAGGCTAATTAAAGCTCTGATTTATGGGCAGGAGCTGGGAAAGTCAGGATATTAGGTATGCAACTAAACCCATTCTAAGGATAAAGTGTGAGTTGGGAATTTTTGCCTGATCGCTCTACATGGAGCATGGGGAATTACTCATTTGCAGTACCCAGCCACTTGTTAAAAACTGCATTTTTATTCCTAGTGGCCAAGAGAGACTCACAAATGCAGAGCCCTATTCTTTCCCAGAGCTAGATCATTTAGGACATGGTCCCTCAAGTGGAAACTGTAAAAGTTGGGGCACTCAATAGATGTACAAACCACTTCCAAGGCGGAACTGGAGACCTGGCTTTATTGCTAGAGCAAGACAGTTAGGAGAAGGCAGAGAAACTGCTCACATGCCTGTTTAGATTCCTAGAGTTCTATTGTTCATGAGACCCATCAGCGTCTATGTGCAGGCAAGTTAGAAGAATAGTTCTCCAGCAGCTGCTGGGAGTGTGCTGATTAACTCCTTCAGGGAGAAAACAGGAAGCTATGAGTTATTGCCCATTTTCCCTCCATGCCTGCTGAGAAAATTTCACTGGAAGTGCTAAGGTGCTCCTTTTAAACTAATCTATTTGCTGTCTATGGTCTCAGGAGTCTAAAAAATACACTGTCCTGTCCATTCCTAGTGGTAAGTGATTGAGGAGCCAGTCCCTCAGGTGGGAGCTGTAAAAGTTGTTTGCTTGATGCATATACAATCTCCTTCCAGGTAGAAATTGGAGACCTGATTTTATTCCCAGAAGTTTATTGTTAACTCTGTCCCTTTGCCTCCCAGATTCAGGCTAATTAGGAGTCTAAGCCTCAGGCAGGTAGATGGAAAAATATGCTGGCAAACCCCTTCCAGGTGGAAACTGCCTGCTCCCTCGGCTCTGAGCCCATGGAGATAACTGCTTAAAATGTTTTAAAACACTTCTTTTGTCTCCATGATTTCAGGGGACTTGCAAATGCCCAACCCCATCAGCCCAGTGCAAGCGATGCAAAAGTCAAACTCTTTTTTTTTTTTTGAGTATAACATTACTTTATTCTGTATTTAGCTTTTTTTTTTATTATTGAATGGTAACTATGTACATTAATGCACTTCTGGGGT